TCTGTTGTGTCCCTGTTCATGGTGCCATGTCTATTGTATCCCTGTTTATGGTGCCGTGTCTGTTGTGTCCTTGTTAATGGTGCCATGTCTATTGTATCCCTGTTTATGGTGCCGTGTCTGTTGTGTCCTTGTTTATGGTGCCATGTCTATTGTGTCCTTGTTAATGGTGCCATGTCTATTGTATCCCTGTTTATGGTGCCATGTCTATTGTGTCCTTGTTAATGGTGCCGTGTCTGTTGTGTCCTTGTTTATGGTGCCATGTCTGTTGTGTCCTTGTTAATGGTGCCATGTCTGTTGTATCCATGTTTATGATGCCATGTCTATTGTGTCCTTGTTAAAGGTGCCATGTCTATTGTGTCCTTGTTAATGGTGCCATGTCTATTGTGTCCTTGTTAATGGTGCCATGTCTATTGTATCCCTGTTTATGGTGCCATGTCTATGGTGTCCTTGTTAATGGTGCCATGTCTATTGTATCCCTGTTTATGGTGCCATGTCTATTGTATCCCTGTTCATGGTGCCATGTCTATTGTGTCCTTGTTAATGGCGCCATGTCTATTGTGTCCTTGTTAATGGCGCCATGTCTATTGTGTCCTTGTTAATGGTGCCATGTCTATTGTGTCCTTGTTAATGGCGCCATGTCTATTGTGTCCTTGTTAATGGCGCCATGTCTATTGTGTCCTTGTTAATGGCGCCATGTCTATTGTGTCCTTGTTAATGGCGCCATGTCTATTGTGTCCTTGTTAATGGCGCCATGTCTGTTGTGTCCTTGTTAATGGCGCCATGTCTATTGTGTCCTTGTTAATGGCGCCATGTCTATTGTGTCCTTGTTAATGGCGCCATGTCTGTTGTGTCCTTGTTAATGGCGCCATGTCTGTTGTATCGTGTTTTATGTGTTTGTTGGACTTTGTATGAGGTAGACAGTCTCACGCTCAGCATCCATAGTAGTCTCTTACGACATGCATGGTAGGTTACAGTATTATTTGCTACTCTTACACCCCTATACCATAACACCTGGACAGTTTGGTTTTCACCTGTACAGTCTCGTTCTTACCTAAACAGTCCAATTTTTACTTGGACAATCTCATTTTCACCTGGACAGTCTCGTTTTCACCTGGACAGTCTCGTTTTTTTTTTAAGATGCGCCCTGATCATCCCGCCAGTACTCCATAAAACACCATTTGTCCCGTTTAATAACGACCCAGGAACAAGCTGCAGAATATATCGTCCACTTTTTTACATATATATTGTTTAACCCTAATTAGATTTCGTAATTTCAGATACTTCTAGTGTCTTAAATGTGCTCATGAAACTTTCTCCGTGATTTGTCGTGTAGTAAAAGAGCATATTGTTTTGTTTACTTCGTGGTGCCCTGCCTTGTTTTGCCGGGACAAAATTGTCACGTTTCACTGACATCCCCGAATAAGAAGCTTACTTTTGGTTATCATTGTGACCTCGGTTATCTCTGGCGTATAAAATAGCCTAACATTGCCAAGTAGCCACGAAAATGACTCCTGCATTGTTGAAGCGATCAAAGGAGACGGGTCCAAATACTGTCCCGACCGACAAAGATGTCGTCTACTGGCCAGCCAATGGACGGTGGCAGATGATTTATTTGTGACATTGATTGGGGTTTTAATACCAATGTCGAGCGAGTTATTGACCCGTTTACCCTACAGGATAACTTTCATCAAAGGCTACTGGCCTCCCGGTGTCCTGTTTTCTGACAGAAGGATCAAAGAAGAAAACTCCTGTTGGTAAACTGAGTGGCTTGAGATGTCCTTCTTTCATCTCAGTATATTACAGGAACGTATCGTTATAAACTCAAAAAATAATCACCCTGTCTCTTCTTCTTGTCTTCCTGTATGCAACATTGTCTTCCTTTTGCACGTCTTCCACTCTCTTCTGCCCGATAGCACAGCCGTGCCTCTTGATATTCAGTGAAAACCTGGACCACTGGTAGTTGGCAGTACTATCCCCCGTGTGAAGGGACACGGCTTTGTGGGCCTGCGTATTAGGAGAAAAAAAAGAAGAGAATGTCATATAATAAGTAAGTAAGTCTAAGTGCCCTCGCCCTCTACACATACACACCTACATCAGCGGCGGAGGGTATCCCAGCATTCACAGGCAGCAGTTGCCGGAAGTGGTGTAGCAGACACGGAATATTTAGTAAACAGAAGGTTTCACGCCTCAAGGACTTGCTGACTGATTTCGTTCTGCTTCGGGATTCTTGTGTCGTCGCTTCTACAGGCTTTTGTAATATTACCGATGTAAGTTTCAGCTCGTTTGTCACACACGTAGCTGTCAGAACAACTCCGTGTGTCATTGTCCTGTGTTGCAAATTATTCAAGCACTTTCACTTTCTGCCTTCCATTGTTTTTCATTTTCAGTTTTATGTTTTTCATTTATTCATTGTCATTAAATTAAATGAAAAGTAATTTTTAAAACAAAAAGGCCCATGTTTAGATAGTCATTTATTTGCTTTGGTTCTGTTGTCGCTCAAATTTATGTCTATTATAGATTTGTAATTTTCTCTAGTGGAACCATTTTCATTTAGTTTACTGGTTATCATTAATATAAATCACTTTAATTCACTTCATCTGTTTGAAATGTTGTGTCTGAGTCTGTGTGTTATTACTGTTACTGTTATCATTACTTTAGTTCACTTCGTCTGTTTGAAATGTTGTGTCTGTGTGTTATTACTGTTATCATTACTTTACTTCACTTCGTCTGTTTAAAATATGTCTGTGTGTTATTACTGTTATCATTAATTATTTATAATCAGTTTTGTCACTGAGTAGAGAATTGTCTGGCTTTTTTTTTACCGGGACCGCCGGTGTGTTGGGAAATGAAGGAGAGGTTCTGGCAGATGCTCGAGGTTCAAAGGAAAGCAAGCAAGACGACGTTTAAGTTTAATCAGAATGCTACTGGTACCATTAGTATCAGAACTCTTTGCTGGCTGCTGAAGATGGGGATGGAGCGCTTATGGGAAGCCCTGAGTGCTGTGATGTCGGTTCTTGAATCAAATCATATCTAATAGGTCATAAATCTCACAAACTAACTTTACATTAGACTTGATCAGTTGCCTGGTTGATTGTCAGAACAACTCCGTGTGTCATTGTCCTGTGTTGCAAATTATTCAAGCACTTTCACTTTCTGCCTTCCATTGTTTTTCATTTTCAGTTTTCAGTTTTTCATTTATTCATTGTCATTAAATTAAATGAAAAGTAATTTTTAAAACAAAAAGGCCCATGTTTAGATAGTCATTTATTTGCTTTGGTTCTGTTGTCGCTCAAATTTATGTCTATTATAGATTTGTAATTTTCTCTAGTGGAACCATTTTCATTTAGTTTACTGGTTATCGGTTATCATTAATTACTTTAGTTCACTTCATCATTCATCTGTTTGAAATGTTGTGTCTGAGTCTGTGTGTTATTACTGTTACTGTTATCATTACTTTAGTTCACTTCGTCTGTTTGAAATGTTGTGTCTGTCTGTTATTACTGTTATCATTACTTTAGTTCACTTCATCTGTTTGAAATGTTGTGTCTGTCTGTTATTACTGTTATCATTACTTTACTTCACTTCGTCTGTTTGAAATATGTCTGTGTGTTATTACTGTTATCATTAATTATTTATAATCAGTTTTGTCACTGAGTAGAGAATTATCTGGCTTTTTTTTTTTACCGGGACCGCCGGTGTGTTGGGAAATGAAGGAGAGGTTCTGGCAGATGCTCGAGGTTCAAAGGAAAGCAAGCAAGACGACGTTTGAGTTTAATCAGAATGCTACTGGTACCATTAGTATCAGAACTCTTTGCTGGCTGCTGAAGATGGGGATGGAGCGCTTATGGGAAGCCCTGAGTGCTGTGATGTCGGTTCTTGAATCAAATCATATCTAATAGGTCATAAATCTCACAAACTAACTTTACATTAGACTTGATCAGTTGCCTGGTTGATTGTTTGTTATGGTGTGGAGTTCCAGCTATTTTATTCCTTGACATGTAAATTAGAGCAACTTGAAAAACTATAGGATAGGTTGTGTCGGTGTGTCCTGTCTCTGTCTTTTCTCTTTCTTTGTTCAGCTTTATTTGCTAGTCACATATTTTAGTGTGTCATGCCTCCACACTTGAATAGTTTGTTTCATTTGTCGACATCGTTTCATAGATGGGTCACCCTGTCTTGTCCGGTCGTTTCATAGATGGGTCACCCTGTCTTGTCCGGTTGTTTCATAGATGGGTCACCCTGTCTTGTCCGGTTGTTTCATAGATGGGTCACCCTGTCTTGTCCGGTTGTTTCATAGATGGATCACCCTGTCTTGTCCGGTTGTTTCATAGATGGGTCACCCTGTCTTGTCCGGTTCCATGCCAATAGAAATTACATAAATGCAAACTACTGTCCAGTTTAAAGACTAGTGAAAAATGGATGGGTCCCAGTAAACTCTGGTAGCATTGACCCAGGTTCATCCTTTGTTTGTTTCTTGAAGGAGTTAATTACAAGGGTATAGACAAAAAAGATGGTCATGTTGGTAGTGGTAGGGATGATAATGTCTCTTACTAGTGGCAGCTTCTCACATCACTCAGTGATGTATAGTAAATGTCTTGAAATAATTCTCTTCTTCTAAATATACTGTCTTTATTGTCTTTTCTCATTGATGTGATAAATAACTGTAACAGCTTGTGTGATATATGTTTTCTGAATAGCAGCTGATTTTTTCCCAGTAGTAATATATTCTCTGTTTATCTTCTTCTCATTATTTCTTGTCAGTATAAAGCCCAATTTAGGGAAGCCAGATCCTATACATTCTACTTATATTTAGATTCTCTTTCTTGAGTTTTGTTATTTCTGTTCATTTCACAGAATCAGACTGCCGATGGCAGCCATCTTATTACCAAGCTAGAGAAGATTAGAAACTAGCGGTCACCTAGGATACGACCAGGGGGAGGCAGGTTTTGAATCCTCCAAAGACTGACTTGTAGCTACCAGAAACCATTCCACAGACAGTTATGAGCAATAGCAGACGCAACTCCGGAACGAGGCCAGGTGCTGCGGGCGGCAGAATACAGCAGGCCAAGCTGGTACTGCTCGGAGATCAAGGTGTTGGCAAGTCCAGCTTGGCACTGAGGTTTGTTCGGGGACAGTTTCCAGAGCACAGCGAGGCGACCGTTGGTGGTAAGTCCTTCTTGCCACTTTTGATTCAGTGAGACTGAGTTATTCACCTGAAAGGTCAGTGTGTCCAACTTCAACATTTATGTAGGGTTTACTTCCTAAAGATAGATTTCCTACAAGCTGACAGGCTCTGTCTGGATACTTCTGGGTGGGTTTTTGGTCTGAACAGTTTGGCTAGGCTAGCAGCCTTAATGGTCTGTGCTCCAGTGGGAGATAAAAGTAAGGGAATTCTAAGAATATATCCACATCCAGAGCAGAGCAAGATCAAACCTACATTCAACACCTGTCAATAAATATCAGGCAAAGAGTTGTCAAGTGTTAGAAAGCAGTCGTTTTAATGCCTAGCAGTAAATTTTAGACAGTTAACAAGCAAGTTATGTCTTGAAGCCACAGCAGTCATCTATAGGGACTACTTTCTTTGATATTTTGTTTTTGTTGGTAACGCATGCTCTACTGGTGTTTGTCAGTTTGAACTCCTCAAGTCCGATGTGTCTGTGTTTAGGTTGCATGAGTCATCAAAAGATGTGAATCTGTGAAAGGGAGAATGGTGAACAGACTTAATTTCTGACCATAGATCAAGTGTTATCTCCCTGCTTTCTGTTGCACTTTCCTGTGTCCGTTCTTTGTCACCATTGGGGGGAGGGGGGGGGGGGGTTAAATCCACTGACCCTCTCACAAGCATGTCATAAAAGTCTACTAATTATTCATCTTTGAAGTCAGAGTGCATCTGCCTGAGAGACAGGGAGCCAATTGTCGTGTGCAGATACGCCTGATCTGTTTGCCACCAGAGTTTACAGCCAGTGAATGCTAAGAAGAAAAAGACTTATGGAGCTTCTCCTCTCCAAGGTCAGACACCAACACAGTGTTCCCGATTAGTACAGGAACCTTCTGTCTGTGGAGAGACATATCTAGGATGTGACCAGCTGTTGATTCAACACAGCAAGTCCAGGAAAATTATTTATGCATGTAAAGTAAACACGTAATAGACTATTTCTTATTGCCTATTATGCCAGGCATTTAGTAAGTACAGGAGCCTCTTGAAATCCACTACAAACCCAAGGCTTTTGGAGCAGCAGTGACTATCTAGCCACAACACTACTGCAGCCCACAAGGTATATGGTGCTGGCTGAGCAGTTTTGTTTTAGGCCAACCAGCAACTGATGGCTGATATGGTCATTATCACCATGGCTGCCTTTACTTTTTTTTTTGGCTACCTAGTTTTGGGCAGGGTTGGACCGGTAAATTCACAGTTACACAGCCACATGAATGGCTGAAACTTTTATTGGCTACCTAGTTTTGGGCAGGGTTGGACCTGTACATTCACAGTTCCACAGCCACATGAATGGCTGGAACTTTTATTTGCAGCTGCCTTCCTAACACAGACCATTCTGGTGCAAGGACAGAGCCTCAAGTTTGATATCTGGGACACGGCTGGCCAGGAGCGGTATCACAGCCTAGCCCCAATGTATTACAGGGGAGCCCAGGCGGCCGTCGTCGTGTATGATATCAACAATGCTGTAAGTTGTATTTTTGATGTGTATTATATCAACAATGCTGTAAGTTGTATTTTTGATGTGTATGATATCAACAATGCTATAAGTTGTATTTTTGATGTTGCTGTTGTGTGTCAGATACGGGTAATATTTTAGTATTTATTGGCATTGTTGATGATGGTTGTTTATTAAATGAATATAATTGTAAGTTGAATTTGGATCTTTAATACTGAATATAATGTTTAAAAAAAAAAAAGAAAAAAAACTGAAACCTCCTATGGCCGTGAATATTGAGGCCCTTAGAAGATTCTTGTTGAAAAAAGTCTGGCCAGCTGGTAGAAAGCCTGTGCTTCCGTGGAACATCAGAGTTAGAAAAAAGTATGGCCAGCTGGTAGAAAGCCTGTGCTTCTGTGGAACATCAGAGATTGATAAAAGTCTGGCCAGCTGGTAGAAAGTCTGTGCTTCTGTGGAACATCAGAGATTGACAAAAGTCTGGCCAGCTGGTAGAAAGTCTGTGCTTCTGTGAAACATCAGAGATTGACAAAAGTCTGGCCAGCTGGTAGAAAGTCTGTGCTTCTGTGGAACATCAGAGATTGACAAAAGTCTGGCCAGCTGGTAGAAAGTCTGTGCTTCTGTGAAACATCAGAGATTGACAAAAGTCTGGCCAGCTGGTAGAAAGTCTGTGCTTCTGTGGAACATCAGAGATTGACAAAAGTCTGGCCAGCTGGTAGAAAGTCTGTGCTTCTGTGGAACATCAGAGATTGACAAAAGTCTGGCCAGCTGGTAGAAAGTCTGTGCTTCTGTGGAACATCAGAGGTAGAAATAAGTCTGGCCAGCTGGTAGAAAGTCTGTGCTTATGTGGAACATCAGAGGTTGATAAAAGTCTGGCCAGCTGGTAGAAAGCCTGTGCTTCTGTGGAACATCAGAGGTAGAAATAAGTCTGGCCAGCTGGTAGAAAGTCTGTGCTTCTGTGGAACAACAGAGGTAGAAATAAGTCTGGCCAGCTGGTAGAAAGTCTGTGCTTCTGTGGAACAACAGAGGTAGAAATAAGTCTGGCCAGCTGGTAGAAAGTCTGTGCTTCTGTGGAACAACAGAGGTAGAAATAAGTCTGGCCAGCTGGTAGAAAGTCTGTGCTTCTGTGGAACAACAGAGGTAGAAATAAGTCTGGCCAGCTGGTAGAAAGTCTGTGCTTCTGTGGAACAACAGAGGTAGAAATAAGTCTGGCCAGCTGGTAGAAAGTCTGTGCTTCTGTGGAACATCAGAGGTAGAAATAAGTCTGGCCAGCTGGTAGAAAGTCTGTGCTTCTGTGGAACAACAGAGGTAGAAATAAGTCTGGCCAGCTGGTAGAAAGTCTGTGCTTCTGTGGAACATCAGAGGTAGAAATAAGTCTGGCCAGCTGGTAGAAAGTTCTGTGCTTCTGTGGAACAACAGAGGTAGAAATAAGTCTGGCCAGCTGGTAGAAAGTCTGTGCTTCTGTGGAACATCAGAGGTAGAAATAAGTCTGGCCAGCTGGTAGAAAGTCTGTGCTTCCGTGGAACATCAGAGGTAGAAAACAGAAAAAATGTCATTTATGTCTCAGAATTTCATCTCCAGCTGTAGAGATATTGAGCCACTATGGTGTAGTGTACCTTTAAGAGGTACCAGATAAAGTCCTGGGAGGTCAAGGTGGCCAGTGTACCAGATAAAGTCCTAGGAGGTAAAGGTGGCCAGTGTACCAGATATAAGTCCTAGGAGGTAAAGGTGGCCAGTGTACCAGATATAAGTCCTAGGAGGTAAAGGTGGCCAGTGTACCAGATAAAGTCCTAGGAGGTAAAGGTGGCCAGAGAGATGTTAACCAGATCATCCACGAGTGCCGATTGGTCTATTAAATATAGGTGTGGCCCTATATGCCCAGTAAGTCTCAAGCACCGGTACAAGCCACACTTTACAGCAGACAGTAAAGTTCAAGCACCGGTACAAGCCACACTTTACAGCAGACAATGAAGTTCAAGCACCGGTACAAGCCACACTTTACAGCAGACAATGAAGTTCAAGCACCGGTACAAGCCAAACTTTACAGCAGACAATGAAGTTCAAGCACCGGTACAAGCCACACTTTACAGCAGACAGTGAAGTTCAAGCACCGGTACAAGCCAAACTTTACAGCAGACAGTGAAGTTCAAGCACCGGTACAAGCCAAACTTTACAGCAGACAATGAAGTTCAAGCACCGGTACAAGCCAAACTTTACAGCAGACAATGAAGTTCAAGCACCGGTACAAGCCAAACTTTACAGCAGACAATGAAGTTCAAGCACCGGTACAAGCCAAACTTTACAGCAGACAGTGAAGTTCAAGCACCGGTACAAGCCAAACTTTACAGCAGACAATGAAGTTCAAGCACCGGTACAAGCCAAACTTTACAGCAGACAGTGAAGTTCAAGCACCGGTACAAGCCAAACTTTACAGCAGACAGTGAAGTTCAAGCACCGGTACAAGCCAAACTTTACAACAGACAGTGAAGTTCAATCACCGGTACAAGCCAAACTTTACAGCAGACAGTGAAGTTCATAATAGAGACAACATTGCAGATATTAGATAATCTATTTCAGGGGAATGACACAAGAATAAGAACAAATCCAAAGCTAGGAGATGGGTCCTTTACTTTAATAGAGATATTTCCTCCTGGCCAGTGTAGTTTTATGGTCTACCTGCTGATGTGATCTATCCACTGATGTGATCTACCTGCTGATGTGATCTACCTGCTGATGTGATCTACCCACTGATATGATCTATCCACTGATATGATCTACCTGCTGATGTGATCTACCCACTGTGATCTACCCACTGATGTGATCTATCCACTGATGTGATCTACCCGCTGATGTGATCTACCTGCTGATGTGATCTACCCACTGATGTGATCTACCTGCTGATGTGATCTACCTGCTGATGTGATCTATCTGCTGATGTGATCTACCTGCTGATGTGATCTATCCGCTGATGTGGTCTATCCACTGATGTGGTCTACCCACTGATGTGATCTACCCACTGATGTTGTCTACCCACTGATGTGATCTATCCACTGATGTGGTCTACCCGCTGATGTGATCTACCCGCTGATGTGATCTACCCGCTGATGTGGTCTACCCACTGATATGGTCTGTCAAAAAAATGGACAGTGAAAATCCCTGCAGACAAGTTAAGGCAGCCAGTCTTGATACTGATGATGATTGTCTCTTTTGTGCCATTTTATGATGGGAGAATACAGTATTCCCAACATGCCTTCATGTCATCCATTGCACTGCCATATCATCATCAGGTCCTTGGCAAATGTAATCCCTCATCATGGCCTCAATCTTTCCTCAGTTCCCCTGCCCAATGTACAATCCAGCCCAGGGTGTCTTTATTGTCCTATGTTCCCTGCCTCTTTCCTTTAAAGGCCACGCTGGCTATTGCTGTTCTGTTTAAGCTACTGTAAAAATATCACACTGAGTGTCGTGGGATAAATATGGTGGTAGTTATGTATGTCCAACTAGATATTTTAGACTAAAAGAACCCAAACAATAGGAACTCTTCTTTTGCAGAACACATTCAATCGTGCCATATCCTGGGTGCGAGAACTACGACAGCAGACAGCAGTTAACACAGTGATAGTTCTGGCAGGAAATAAAGCAGATCTTGCTTCTGAACATCGGGCAGTGCCAACAGAAGTATGAGTTTACTTTTTATTGTTTCAGTAAGACAGTCATATTCTTAACCTTTCAACCCAGGAAGCCGCAAACCTGGCACGCTTGTAGGTTCCAGTTCTTCAAGAGTGCTGCTTAGCTGGCATTTCTAAAGCGCTGTGTTGACGAGACACCTAGTTAGTTGACGAGACACCTAGTTAGTTGACGAGACACCCAGTTAGTTGACGAGACACCTAGTTAGTTGACGAGACACCTAGTTAGTTGACGAGACACCTAGTTAGTTGACGAGACACCTAGTTAGTTGACGAGACACCTAGTTAGTTGACGAGACACCTAGTTAGTTGACGAGACACCTAGTTAGTTGACGAGACACCTAGTTAGTTGACGAGACACCTAGTTAGTTGACGAGACACCTAGTTAATTCTATTGTCTGAGTTTGCACCTGCACAGCATTTAGGAGGTCAGGATTTTAAGTTGAGATAACATACATTTTCAGAAGCCTTAGTGATAGAGGTCACAGAAATCATGGCATGGGTCATTTACCTCAGTGATAGAGGTCACAGAAGTCATAACATGGGTCATCTACCTCAGTGATAGAGGTCACAGAAGTCATGGCATGGGTCATCTACCTCAGTCATAGAGGTCACATAAGTCATGGCATGGGTCATCTACCTCGGTGATAGAGGTCACAGAAGTCATGGCATGGGTCATCTACCTCGGTGATAGAGGTCACAGAAGTCATGGCATGGGTCATCTGCCTCAGTGATAGAGGTCACAGAAATCATGGCATGAGTCATCTACCTATCCTTTCAAGGCCCCATAAAATGTATACCGTTTAGTGCTTCATTCTGTTTATTGATTTCTCCCTTTTTACATTTTAAAACAATTTATTAGTGACCTATGTATGGCTAATAACCTTGTAATAATTGTGTTTTTGGAATTCTGACTAGCCCATAACCAATTTTTTAGCATTGTACTGATTTCTAGAACTGTCATCAGTCTAGTAGGTAAATAGCTCAGATGTACTGGTTTCTACATCTGTCATCAGTCTAGTAGGTAAATAGCTCAGATGTACTGGTTTCTACATCTGTCATCAGTCTAGTAGGTAAATAGCTCTGATGTCCTGGTTTCTATATCTGTCATCAGTCTAGAAGTTAAATAGATAGGATGTACTGGTTTCTACATCTGTCATCAGTCTAGTAGTTAAATAGCTCAGATGTACTGGTTTCTACATCTGTCATCAGTCTAGTAGTTAAATAGCTTGGATGTACTGGTTTCTACATCTGTCATCAGTCTAGTAGGTAAATAGCTCAGATGTCCTGGTTTCTACATCTGTCATCAGTTTAGTAGTTAAATAGCTCGGATGTCCTGGTTTCTATTTCTGTCATCAGTCTAGTAGTTAAATAGATCGGATGTACTGGTTTCTACATCTGTCATCAGTCTAGTAGGTAAATAGCTCAGATGTCCTGGTTTCTACATCTGTCATCAGTCTAGTAGTTAAATAGCTCTGATGTACTGGTTTCTACATCTGTCATCAGTCTAGTAGGTAAATAGCTCAGATTTCCTGGTTTCTACATCTGTCATCCGTCTAGTAGTTAAATAGCTCTGATGTACTGGTTTCTACATCTGTCATTAGTCTAGTAGTTAAATAGCTCTGATGTACTGGTTTCTACATCTGTCATCAGTCTAGTAGGTAAATAGCTCGGATGCCCTGGTTTCTATATCTGTCATCAGTCTAGTAGTTAAATAGATCGGATGTCCTGGTTTCTATATGCGTCCTAAGTCTAGTAGTTAAATAGCTCAGATGTTGTGGTTTCTATTTCCGTCATCAGTCTAGTAGTTAAATAGCTCAGATGTCCTGGTTTCTATATCTGTCATCAGTCTAGTAGTTAAATAGCTCAGATGTACTGGTTTCTACATCTGTCATCAGTCTAGTAGTTAAATAGATCGGATGTTCTGGTTTCTATATGCGTCATCAGTTTAGTAGTTAAATAGATCGGATGCCCTGGTTTCTATATCTGTCATCAGTCTAGTAGTTAAATAGATTGGATGTCCTGGTTTCTATATGCGTCATCAGTCTAGTAGGTAAATAAATCGGATGTCCTGGTTTCTATATCTGTCATCAGTCTAGTAGTTAAATAGATCGGATGTCCTGGTTTCTACATCTGTCATCAGTCTAGTAGGTAAATAGCTTGGATGTCCTGGTTTCTACATCTGTCATCAGTTTAGTAGTTAAATAGCTCGAATGTCCTGGTTTCTACATCTGTCATCAGTCTAGTAGTTAAATAGATAGGATGTCCTGGTTTCTACATCTGTCATCAGTCTAGTAGGTAAATAGCTAGGATGTCCTGGTTTCTATATCTGTCATCAGTCTAGTAGGTAAATAGTTCGGGCGTAGTTAGTTAATGTCATAACTGCAGTGGACATAAAGTGTTTTGAAACGTAGTAACATGAGTAAGTGAACTGGTACATTTAAAGGATAAAATCATTTATGTCAGCAATTGGTCTCTTCATCTTGGCTAAGACACTTGCATTCTAATCTGGTTGTCATAAGTTCAGATCTCCTTAGGGACTCAATTTATTTGATTAACCAGGTGTTTTGGTTTAAACAAAGATGAAGGAAATGTCCTGTTAATATATGATAAGTAAAGGCGACCTGCTTGATATTAACATCACTGGAGTGCCAGTTAATCTAGAAATGTATTGCTTTAATTAAAAACCATGTGGCCAAGCTGGCAAGGCGTCCTTGATGTTAGCTGTTGATGACATTGTTTGTGTGTTGCAGGATGCAAGAGTATTCGCTGAGGAGACTGGGTTGATATTTGCAGAATGTTCCGCAAAAAGTGGCCTTGCTGTGAATGAGATGTTCATGATGATTGGTAAGCTGGGGTATATTTTCATCTGCACATCTGAGATTTTCTAGCGGTGTTTGGCAGTCCAAGAAAAACTACACAACGAATTTTGTTGAGAGAGATCAAACATGCTGGAGAGCATCCATAATGTATAACAGCACAGCAGTATGGTGACATTGATGGCGTTATGGTTGGTTTCTGTCTGCAGGCACTTGTCTGTCTGCAGGGTAAGATTATACATTCTTGTTGTGTGCTAAACTCCCTTTGCTGTTTAACTGTACCAGGCATCAGAAAGGTGATCGCCTGCGCTGGTTGTAAAGGTGCTACTAGATGATGATGTTGGGAGAGACAAGTGCAAAAAGGTACACGCTGTGCACGACATTGGGAAATAGGTGTTTCTGGAGTTTCACAGCTAACGGTGATTTGCACGGATTATGTGAGGGTCATGCGTGGTCAGACGTTAGGCTGGAAGGAATCCCTGAGTGTTGTGTTGGGCTGGAAGGAATCCCTGGGTGTCCAGTTAGTGCCTCTCAGTTTGTGAGAGAGTTAGGATGTGTGTGTGATATTTAGTTGTAATCATGTGTATTACTTTATTCTGGAGAAAGCTTACATTGTTTGTTACAATTTTATGTACAATTCAGAATGCTCCAGTTGAGTGTATATAATGGACACTAGGCATTAAGAGAACATTTCTTCATGTTCCAACTGCGATGGATATGTTCCTGATCGCTGGAGGCTGATTGTGACTGTGGGTCAGGTGGCATAGTGCCGTGGGCATAGCCAGTTATTATTTATAGGTTAATGGTGATCCAAAGTGTGGGCACATAACAGGCATGTATGAAAGGCTACTAGTGACCCCGGAAGAGGGTCTGCAGGCCGAAAGGTATTAATATTGTGGACTGACGTCTAGTTGAGGCTTTCACCTTTTGGGGTGATACCGCCTTGGAAGTATACCAGTGGGTATCGAGGAGCATTAGACGGACAGTAGTTCTGTAATCACCAAATTCATCTTTATCGTCACACTGTGTTTCGTCCCAATAAATAGACTGATGCACAGCATAAACTCAACAGGAAAGAACAAACATCAATTTTTAGGCTTCGGACAGGACACTGTGGTCTTCGAGCACACTTGCACATGATAGGCATACAAGAATCTGCTGCCTGTGATTGTGGAGCAGAAAGACAGACCCCTGAGCACATACTGCAGTACTGCCCTAACCTCTCCCAGCAAAGACTGTGGATCTGGCCCAAGGGAGCCACATTGCAAGAGAAGCTATGGGGGACCGGTGGCGACCTTAAACGCACAATCCTGTTTGTGACCCTGACGGGACTCAGTGTTTAGCATGACTGATGTCGAACGCAGAAGAAGAAGAAGACTGATGCACGATTATAGAAATGACTCCTTCCTTAGTGTTGATGTGGTTGGCTGTTGATTGTTATCGGTGTTAGTTGTACGATGTGTCTATGTAAAGCAATCTCTGGTAGGGAAACCAATAAGTCGTCTGATAGTCGACTTGGCAACTTTTGCATATATAATAAGTTAAATGTTAATCATACAATCATACACCCCTAGAGATTTCAGCACAATTCTCAAACATGGACATGCATTTTTATACAATCATTTATTCCTGGATTTGTTTACTGAATCCCCATCCCCGTGTTCTGATTAAAGATAACAGTGTAGAATTTCTGTAGAATTGTAGCAATATATTCTTATTGACATTGACAGCTATTTGCATGATGTCAAAATACTAATCAGTCACAATCAATCTGTTCTTGTTTGCAGCCCACAAAATTGTTGGTAAACATGCCAGCCCCAACTCCAGCCAGGGAGTTCAGTTGACAGGTGGGGAGGAAGCTAGTTCGTCTGGCTGCAAGTGTTAGCAGCTTGCAACTGTTCAAACACAGAAGACTGCATGAAGACTCACCTGGTGTTACTGAAGCATTTAACTTGGTTATGCATACCAGCATTTGTCATCAAACTAGTCTGTTTATACCTGTAAACATATACTTATGTACAAAAAATGTATTCATATCAGGGAGACCAGATATTACACTTTATTTTATTAACCCTGCGACCCCAAGACCCTGCAGTGTTTTGTTCTATATGCCTCAAGTCTGCTTCTGCGGGCTCCAAGATGTCTTATCTTGTTAACGTGAAAATCAAGGCATGGAACAATGCCACCAAAGTCCAGAAATGAACAAGCAAACAGAACTTTCTGTCAAGAGTTTACAACTCTTGAACAGTCAGAATGTGTCAGTCGTCTGGGCAACAGTGATTCGTTCATGGCATCTATTTATCAATAACAAACACAACTCTGCAACCTGCCATGCCATATTTTATTTATATGTATGCACTCATGTTTGGCATAATCATGTGGGGGAGGAAGTAAAATGTGTTGAGGTTGTTTGTTAGCGTTGTTTAACACATGTTGATGGAAGTATATTTATTATTGATAAGGGAATTTCATTGATGAATGTCCTTGTGTGAGTCTCAGGGATAAGCAGATCAAATGTACATACAGAGAGATGTTATTCTGAATTGTATTATCAGGTAAGGATACTTGATGTTGCTAGTGAAGGAGACAGGCAGAAAGGGAGATGGTGGATGGCATTAGGGAGATAGAGGGATGCAAGCAAAGAGATCAGCGGAGGCAGACTTTGACGGAGAGAAATAAATATCAAAGCGGAGGAAGGCATACACACAGAGAGATAGACATACACACAGAGAGGTAGACATACACACACAGAGATAGACATACACACAGAGGTAGACATAGACACAAGGTAGGCATACACACACAGAGGTAGACATGCACACAGAGGTATACATAGACACAGAGGTAGACATAGACACAGAGGTAGACATACACACAGAGGTAGACATACACACACACACACAGAGGTAGACATAGACACAGAGGTAGACATACACACACACACAGAGGTAGACATAGACACAGAGGTAGACATACACACAGAGAGATAGACACACACACACAGAGGTAGACAAGGAAACTGGTGGATAGTCGCAAGTGTGGGGAATAAGGTTAAGCAATAGGACTAGAAGATTAGGGTTAATGTTTCCACTGTCTGGGGGCAGAATTAGGTGATGTAGGTGATGTCATGTCTGGGGGCAGAATTAGGTGATGTAATGTCTGGGGCAGAATTAGGTGATGTCATGTCTGGGGGCAGAATTAGGTGATGTAATGTCTGGGGGCAGAATTAGGTGATGTCATGTCTGGGGGCAGAATTAGGTGATGTAATGACGCTAGAAAATGTTTTGACTGTATAGATCAGAAATAGGTAACGTAATGAGGCTAGAACAGTGTGGGTTAATGTTTTCACTGTCTGGGTCAGTCTCAAGTTGACACTTTCCATCTCTGTCTGCACTTGTATCTTACAGTGAGGGACAGTCCCTCAGCCAACTGACTGTGTCTTCCTTTCATTTTTCTTCTTCTGTTCTCTACTCCTGGAATGCCTCGTTGCATCAGGGCAGGAAGAGATTTCTGGAACGGGCCCTTCTGTTCGCTTTCTATAAAGTACTTTTCAGTGTCTGATATTTCTGCGGTCCATCTCCTGTTTTGACCTCTGGGTCTATTTGTCAGCTTGTGCTAATCACTCCAAATCATGTTAACCACAGATTTCCTGATATGTTGAGCTTGTTGTCTTATCATTAATGAATTTAGACACAGAAATATATCAACTGTTGACCGTGATTAACTTGAGTCTCAATACCAACTAGTCCTGGGAGCTGTAAGGGAGTGGTTGCTGAGACCTTCAGATGTTTGTCTTCATTGACCTACTTCACTCACTGGAGAGCAGGCAATCACTTCCTGGATCAAGATCATCTCAAATACTGCCTAAAGAAGGCTGACAGTCTAGAATGTTCTGTCTGCACATGACACATTTATATACCTCGACAATTGGAAGTAAACACAGCAGCTTGAACAGTCAGCTCCTCCCACATTACATTTCAAATAACAAAACCTGCCCAGAAATCATGTTTATAGTGTGTGTGCAGACATTGAACCCTTTCAGAAACCACAAAACCAACACTTCTCTTTGGTACCTTGTCTCAGTAAGAGTCGCTCTGCCGACTAGCTATACAGACATGTTTATGAGATCTCCAGCTAACAAAATTAATTGCTTCTGCACATTACATTCATCGTGATAGTGACGGCCATAGATTGACTAAAAACAACATTTAGGGAGTTTCCTTTTTAGAAAATGACTTTATTTATAGACATTTCTAGCCCATAGTTTCCCTATTGGCTATAAAGGTCAAGGGTCAAGTAATTGTGGCTGTGTTAGTTGAAGTTACAGGCCCTAAGATATGTCAGCCAGTTGATTCTGTGTTGCGTTCGTTTTTTATTGATCAGTTTCCTTACTCTCCATAGCAAGGCTGTTCAACTGGTGGCCCACGGAGGCCTAGCAAGTGGCCCATGGAGGCCTATCAGGTGCCCATAGCTGGTTGTATTAATGATCTTTGAATGATGAGGCTTGGGTCTCTGTCCTGTGACGCCCTTTTTTTGTGTGCAAAGTTTAGGCATCTGAGTGAACATGGTTGAATAGCCCAGCTCTAGAGTATTTGTTCATCTTTTGAATGATACATTGATTTTGTGGATGTTTTTTGTGTGTGATGTATAAAGTGGTTGTATTTCTAAGAATTTGTGTGTGTGTGAATATATGAAAATGGAAAGTACAGGAGCTGGGCATTGTTTTTTTTCTAGTCAAGAGGGTGAAAGGGTTAAGTATGAAAATGAATGGTTCCACACCATGTGTTCTCTACAGGACTGAGTGACTTCATTATCAACAAACTCCAACTCTGTGTCCATAGGCAGGCACAACAATAGGAGTCAATAGTTATCAACAAACTCCAACTCTGTGTCCATAGGCAGGTACAACAATAGGAGTCAATAGTTATCAACAAATTCCAACTCTGTCCATAGGCAGGCACAACAATAGGAGTCAATAGTTATCAACAAACTCCAACTCTGTGTCCATAGGCAGGCACAACAATAGTAGGAGTCAATAGTTATCAACCAACTCCAACTCTGTGTCTATAGGCAGGCACAACAATAGAAGGAGTCAATAGTTATCAACAAACTCCAACTCTGTGTCTATAGGCAGGCACAACAATAGTAGGAGTCAATAGTTATCAGCAAACTCCAACTCTGTGTCTATAGGCAGGCACAACAATAGTAGGAGTCAATAGTTATCAGCAAACTCCAACTCTGTGTCTATAGGCAGGCACAACAATAGTAGGAGTCAATAGTTATCAGCAAACTCCAACTCTGTGTCTATAGGCAGGCACAACAATAGTAGGAGTCAATAGTTATCAGCAAACTCCAACTCTGTGTCTATAGGCAGGCACAACAATAGTAAGAGTCAATAGTTATCAGCAATCTCCAACTCTGTGTCTATAGGCAGGCACAACAATAGTAGGAGTCAATAGTTATCAGCAAACTCCAACTCTGTGTCTATAGGCAGGCACAACAATAGTAGGAGTCAATAGTTATCAGCAATCTCCAACTCTGTGTCTATAGGCAGGCACAACAATAGTAGGAGTCAATAGTTATCAGCAATCTCCAACTCTGTGTCTATAGGCAGGCACAACAATAGTAGGAGTCAATAGTTATCAGCAATCTCCAACTCTGTGTCTATAGGCAGGCACAACAATAGTAGGAGTCAATAGTTATCAACAAACTCCAACTCTGTGTCTATAGGCAGGCACAACAATAGTAGGAGTCAATAGTTATCAACAAACTCCAACTCTGTGTCTATAGGCAGGCACAACAATAGAAGGAGTCAATAGTTATCAACAAACTCCAACTCTGTGTCTATAGGCAGGCACAACAATAGTAGGAGTCAATAGTTATCAGCAAACTCCAACTCTGTGTCTATAGGCAGGCACAACAATAGTAGGAGTCAATAGTTATCAGCAAACTCCAACTCTGTGTCTATAGGCAGGCACAACAATAGTAGGAGTCAATAGTTATCAGCAAACTCCAACTCTGTGTCTATAGGCAGGCACAACAATAGTAGGAGTCAATAGTTATCAACAAACTCCAACTCTGTGTCTATAGGCAGGCACAACAATAGTAAGAGTCAATAGTTATCAGCAAACTCCAACTCTGTGTCTATAGGCAGGCACAACAATAGTAAGAGTCAATAGTTATCAGCAATCTCCAACTCTGTGTCTATAGGCAGGCACAACAATAGTAGGAGTCAATAGTTATCAGCAAACTCCAACTCTGTGTCTATAGGCAGGCACAACAATAGTAGGAGTCAATAGTTATCAGCAATCTCCAACTCTGTGTCTATAGGCAGGCACAACAATAGTAGGAGTCAATAGTTATCAGCAATCTCCAACTCTGTGTCTATAGGCAGGCACAACTATAGTAGGAGTCAATAGTTATCAACAATCTCCAACTCTGTGTCTATAGGCAGGCACAACTATAGTAGGAGTCAATAGTTATCAACAATCAATGGATGTACGCTACAGCGCCCCATGTATTACATGCTAAATGTACAGTTTGATTATAACAGAAATTACAAATTCCACAACACCCCATTCCACAGAACTTCAACACTAAAACGATGAATAATTGTACCTCTTTTGCTTAATTCAACATTACAGTGTATTTTATTGTTGCAATTTATATTTCCCTTTTTCTGTATATAGTCTAAACATTTCAGAATGTTCTTCCAACATTTTTTTAAATTGCTAGGCACAAAATTATTTGGCCTGCATTAAGTTACACAACGATTTAATTTTCTGTATTAAAAGTACTTTTCTTTGAACAAAAGCTTTAAGATATGTTGAATGATATTATAAATGCTGTGTTCACCAATTATTCACGTATTGGTTTACTTGTCAG